TCTTTCAGACAGACGAGACGTGCAAGTATTCAAACTGAGTCTTATTAATTGATACATTAGATATCATTTGCACCTTTTTACAAAGGTGTGTTTGAACTAAGAATTTGATGTTCCCTTGAGGCTGTAGATCTGAATATGCAAATGGTTCCATAACTTCATATTCTTATTTTCTCTTCTCTCTACTGCGTTAAGCTTTAACCCTTTCCTATACCAACTGTATGTGTGTGTGTGTGTGTGTGTGTGTGTGTGTGTGTATGTGTATGTTGGACCAGTTTAAGTGTTTATGTAGTATGTTAGACTAGTTTAAGTGTTTATGTAGTTAATAAAGTCTTACTTGTATCACACTTGATGTTGTTCATTGTTTGCTCATAACTGGAGTCACTTAATCATGCAGATTTATGCTACAAGCTCTTTGTAGAATTGTACAGTAAGAAATGTATTTCCCTTAACCAGGAAATTAACGTTCTTAGAATTGACAGACAGTTGACCCTGAGAGGTCAGCTAAATATCTACAGCGGATCTAAATATTTATAATTAATTATAACTAGTTATGATTAATTATTCATATTTCCCCATGAGCTGATTCGCAGCATAGTAATTATAGTGATCACACACTGTTTGTGCCAGTTAGAGTACAATATCGTCAGATTCTATTCTATTCTATTCTATTCTATTCTATTCTATTCTATTCTATTGAGCCTTGTTCCGATCAGGAGACACTGTTTTTCTTCCTCTCAGTCTCTCACTGCTGTTCTCTGGCACTGTAATGAAGTGTTGTCCCTATAATCACTGTGTTTTAAGTAGCTGTCTTGCAGTGGTTAGGCCCAGGGTTGGAGCTGCATGAGGGGGACCAGGCACTGTTTAATTACTGTATTTATTAGAGCTTAAGCCTGGATGGATGGGCTCAGAGACAGAGCTCTGTAGGAGGGCTTATATCAACACTCATGTGTATGGAACGGCCCGGTTTACTCACAAAATCACACTAAAACTCCTCTGACCTGGCTTTTCTGGGACATACTCTATTCTATTCTAAAGCCGTGTCGTGTTCTAATCTGTAAAATAGCCAGTATACATTTAAGTTCAATTGAAATCTATATATTAATAGTCCAAGTTAGATTAAAGAACTATATAAGTGGCACAAGAATTGTTTATTAGAAATGTTTGCGAGGTCAAGTGTCATTCGTTATTACTAATTCTTAGTGTATACTAAATATACTTAGTGTGCTGCTCATACCAACCAGTGTTATTTCAATATTATTTGTATATTTATATAGTATTATTTAGTAGTATTATAGTATTACTACTAATATAATGAATTATTAGTTATTATAGTTAGTAGTAATTATAACAAATTTTTTTGTTCTAATATTTAATGCTGTTTATTAAAATATTAAAAACATTTAATAATAAATAAATAATATTTATTAATAGTTTGAATTAGCTTTTATTTTTACATTTTCAGTTTGAATTTGAATTTTCGTTAAATACTTAGTAATTTTGTTGTGTATTTTCATCATTTTTATTTGTTATTGTTTTTTTAAATGTCTATATATTTTTTATGTTTCCTTGGCAACTAGCTGAAATAAATAAGTTTGATGTTTTATTTAATTTATTTTTTTTCATTTAGCATTTATTTTATTTTAAGTAGTCATTTTGTTATATGGTTTTGTCATTTTATAAAATATTTCTATCTAACTTTATTTCAGTTTTAGTTTTAGTAATTTTAGTACTTCACCTTAAACTTATTTTATTTCAGTTAGTTGTGAAGGCAACAATTCTATTTTTTTTTTCATCTGTTTTATTTCGTTTCAGTTAATAAAAACAATTTTTAATAGTTTTAGTTTGCAATAACTACACTTCCACTAACCTAGGTTATTAACCTTCAGAGCATAATCTAGCTTACTATTCTAGTCTGTCGTACCGCGGTTAAGATGGTTTCAGGTTAACAACACCACTAAATTGTGGTAAAATCACTCTAAAACATGGCCTCTCATGGCTTATTGCTTTATTTCTATTCTATTCTATCACTCTTTTCTTGACTCATTTCCTTTTGTTTTTAGTCTTAATAAACACGTGTCTTCACTCTGTCACAGACCAACTCAAGCTCACACACTTCAATACAAAATAAGAGAAATTCACACACATAAAAGAGGACTCACACACTAATCTCTAATTAAAGAGTGAACAGATGCCTCTATCACTGCTCTCTGTCAGACTGAAGCCCACTGCTGAGGAGCAGAAATTAATTAACTAAGCGCTGGTGTCACCACCTGTGTTAAATGTGCATTATTCCTCTCATCTGCATTAAAATATTGTTGTGCAGTTTAATTTTTTTTTTTTTTTTTTTTTTTTTTTTTTTAGAATTTGTTATAGCCACTGAATAAAAAAAATATATATAATCATGTCTTTTTATCTCACAATTCTGACTTTTTCTCACAAAAGTTTATCAATTCAGACTTTTCTTCTCAGAATTGCAAAGAAACAAAGTCAGAATTGTAAGATCAAATCTTCTTTCGTATTTCATGGCAAATTAAGCTTGCATATGTTTGCAATTTCTCTTGGAACGGGATTGGCTGTAGGTGTTGATATGTAAATGTGGGCGGTCATATGTTAATGAGCTCATGCTTGTGATGTCATAATCATGAAGATTGCGTTTTAGTAAATGAAGCTGGTGTTTGGACGTTTTGGGTTATGAATGTTAGAAATCAAGCTCTTATTTCAAAAGAGCAAGAAGCATCGAGTTTTCCCTTGATATAAAAAGGAGACTTCATACGGCAGTGAACTCTGAGAGGCCTTTCCATGTAGTCATCTTATCTACTTCAGCTCCTTTGTGTGAAATTAAATCCTGAAACTAAACATGTGTTTACAGGAGAGATGAGCAGAAATAGAGTCGATCTTCAGCTGCGGTTAATGCTGGTCATAACGTTTGCGTTCTGTGAGTGTGTGTGTGTGTGTGTGTGTGTGTGTGTGCGTGCGTGTGCGTGTGTGCGTGCGTGCGTGTGTGTGTGTGTTATTGTTCTCAGCGGTCTGATCTCTCTCTCATAAATAACATCCCGGCGTTGAGGTAATGTCTCATCCAGACACAGGGCCAGGAAATTAAAACGCCCTTATCTCTCCTCTCCTCCTTTTCTCTTTCTTTGTGTGTCAACATGATTCTTTCTCTTTCTTTTTGTTTATTATCTCCGTCTGCTCCTCCTCTTTCGCTCATCCCTCTCTCCTGGAGATGAAGCTCTTATCGTGTTGTTGTAGCGTCCAGCTCTTGTGATGCTCATTTATGAGCAGATGAGATCAGACGGCGCACACACACACACACACACACACACACACACACACACACACGAATCACGATGAACTTATTAGATTATATAAACAACTGGCTGGAGAATCATCTGAGAAGCTGGAGACTTCAGCAAACAGTTGACCTCCATTGAATCCAATTGCTAACTAAGAGAAGCAATTGAGATGATTTTCGATGTTGATTATTTCCTTATTGGTGCCACATGCCAGATTGAACTGATCTTGATTCTTTCTCATTAATATTTTAAGGTTTGATGTGATTGTATGCTGTTCCTCGAGCTGGTTAATTGTGTCCTGACCAGTCCTGTCTTTTTTCAGGTTCATTGGCATGAAGTTTAAGTCTGTGACTTTCATCGACTCCACCTTTCAGAGCTGTTTCTTTGAGGACGTCAGCTCCATTGGTTCCTTCTTCAAGAACTGCACCATCATAGAAGCGTTCTTCTATAATACAGGTACAGTGTGTTGAAACTTACTTATCTACTTTTTAGGGATGTTAGTTGATAGAAACAATCACAATGTGATATAAATATTTAAAATATGTATAAAATAAATATTCTATAATATATATATATATATATATATATATATATAATAATATGTATGTATTACATACTGAGCATTTAAATCAAAATTTAATGCAGTATTAAAGTAGTTTAGATATTTAGATACAGAAGTAAAGCATCTTGTTTTGCACCAACATCTGTTAAATATTTAAATATTCTGCAATAATAATAAATGTTCTTACATTTATATATATATATATATATATATATTATTTCAAATATAAATAAATAATATTATAAACAGTGTAATAATATAAATAATACTACATAATATTATAAATCAAAATTAAAATATATAAATATCCTTATATTATTTATAATTTTCTAATTTAATATTTTAATATTTTAATTAGAATATATTTTTACATTTCAGTATTCTAAATATTCTATATATATATATGTGTATATATATATTTTTTTATTTTAAATATATATTTAATTTCATTTTTAATTTTAATAAAATACATGAAAATATGAAATAATGTTAGAATGTTGATGTGTACATATATAATTTTAAAATTACAATTTAATTAATACAAATAAAAAAGGAAATAATGCTGCTTTCCACATGTAGTGAATTCAGTTCTCGAATAATAAAATATATATTTTCCCCAGTCTGCATCCATCCACTGCTGGTCTCATTAACAGTGTGTTTCACTCAAAGTTCAGGCCTGTTCAGCTTCCATTAATGGCTGTGTGTTCGAAAGGGTAGAAGTCAATTGGCTGATGGAAACTCAGTGCACTCTGATTGGCTCATGAGGAGTTTGTATGTTGTGATTGGCTCATAGACACTGTGGGATATTCATTCTTTGGGGCATGAAGCTCAACCCTTGTTCCATTTTAGCAAAAGAAAAGCAAAGAAAAAAGAAGAGTCGACTCAGTGTGAGATCTGTAGGTATCAGTGATGTGAGCGTGAGCTTCACTGACTCACAGCGAGATGTTTGATGTTTAAATATCTCACTGCAGCTCACCAGCGACGAGAAACCACAGACTTTGAAGTTGAAATTAATTCTAATTTATATGCATTTGAAGGCAAAAAGACAAGCAGATGCATTAGATGAAAAACAGGATGAAAGATAAAAAGCCGAGGACACCGATTATATGAAGAAGACCTGAAACAACCACAATAATAGCAAAACAATGATTTAACCCAGAATCCATTGAGCAATGAGCACGGGAACATTATGATGTGTTATGGAGCTCAAGGGTTCGGTCAATAACATTCATCATCTTTATGGAGTAAATGATTTTAGTCATAGACATGTATAAACATGCATGCATGTGTAGAAGTCTGTGTGGTTTCATGAATTGCTGATCTGATTGTGCTTCACTATCCATAATCCTGAAGAGAGATCCACTGAAAGTTATGTGTTACCATAGAAACAGGAATTCTTGTTTTGTTTCAAATTTAAATAATTTGAAAATTAAAATTGAAATCTTATTAAACGGAACTCTTTATTAAAGAATGTTCTGATATTAATAAAAAGTTCAATGTTGTGAGTGAGATTGAATTATGGAGCTTGTCTGAGGCTGTTGGTGTTGACTTTTTTTTTTGTCCCCATGAGGAATCAAGTTTGTAAATCATACAGAATTTTTTTGAAATAAGTTTTTTGAAAATATAAAAATGCAGAAAGTTTCCTGTGAGGGTTAGGGTAAGGGGATAGAAAATACAGTTTGTACAATAGAAAAATTATGCCTGTGTGTGTGTGTGTGTGTGTGTGTGTGTGTGTGTGTGTTATGCCCGTGTGTGTGTGTGTGTGTGTGTGTGTGTGTGTGTGTGTGTGTGAGACCAGACAGCGATCGGGTCATTTCAGGGTCCGGCTGACTCAGGAAAAGCCACCTTACACACTTCCACAATCTCCACAACTCAGCAGAACAAACACAAACACAGACTGCAGAGAGAGGGAGAGCAGAGGCCTCATGGGAAATTGAGTTCATGTCTCTAATGAAGCCGTTTCAGAGCTGCTACAGAAATGAAATGAGCTGGAAATGAGTTGAGAGTGAAAGTGTGAGAGAGCTGGAGATCTGCTGCACACGCTGAAACTCACTAATAGGTTTTCAGAGGTTAAACTCCCTAAAGAAACTCCTGTGTCAAAGAGACAGAATGTAGTTTAAACTGTGACCAGAGGGGGGCAGTACAGCATCTGTCTGTCTATCTGTCTATTTATAGTTTTATCTATTGTTCTGTCTATCTATCTATCTATCTATCTATCTATCTATCTATCTATCTGTCTGTCTGTCTGTCTTAATTGTACAGCACTGTGTTATTCTCTGTAGGTTTTTAAAGAACTTTTGTAAGTCTGTCATATATCTCTTCTCTCGTTCAGATATCGACGACTCGAAATTCATCGGTTCCTCTGTGATCAACTCCACGTTTGCGCACAACAAGACCGGCTGTCAGATGACGTTTGATGACGACTACAGCGCGTACTGGGTGTATTTCATCAACTTCCTCGGCACGCTAGCCGTGTTGCCAGGCAACATAGTCTCCGCCCTCCTTATGGATAAAGTGGGCCGTCTGAGCATGTTAGGTCAGTCACTTCACCAGATTCACCAAAAACCTCACCATATACTTCACCAGATTCACCACATACTTAAACTCGTCGGATGTCATGTTGCTGTGTGTTGTTGTGTTCAGGCGGCTCGATGGTGTTGTCTGGCATCAGTTGTTTCTTTCTGTGGTTCGGCACCAGTGAGTCCATGATGATAGCAATGCTCTGCCTTTATAACGGACTCAGTATATCGGCCTGGAACTCACTGGACGTGGTGACGGCCGAACTGTATCCCACCAACAGGAGGTACATGGACACACAAATACACACAATCACTACTAAACATGGATCACAAGATGCTTTCACTTGACTCAAATCAACTTTACCCAATGCATTGACATGTGCTGCATCAAGCTACAGTGCTGTTATCATTAACAAACTAAAACCTTTAACAACGTTTTTGATGATTGAAATTAAGTAGAAAAAAATATATATATATATTAAAGGAAGAACTTAGAGATGTTTTGGCAGCTAACTGAAATATGTAATATGTAAATATCTAAAGCACTAAGATTACTGGAGAATAAACTTAAAAAAAAAGTAAACTTCAACTGAAATAAATAATTGAAAAAAAAAACGTAATAATATTTTAAAAAAAGTGAAAAAAGCACATAACAAAATCTACTAAAATTAAATTAAAACAGAAATGACAACTAATGAAAGATGTTTTGAGCATTTTAAAAAATAGCTTTAAAAAAATGGTTAAAAATGTGTTTTTTTCACCTTTTTATTTAAATAATTATTCTGTTGTTCCTAGATCTCCCTATGCTGCATTTAATATAATTTTTATAGCTAATATAGATAAATACTGCTGTTTTTGATGTAATTACATATATTATAATCATATAAAAATATAATTGATATAAAAATATATATTTAATTTAATTTAATAATTTCTGATTTATTATTTATATTGTTTATTTGTATTGTTTATTCTTTACAGTGTTATCAGTTGTGTTAAATATATAATTTCTATATTTATTTAATGTAATAATTTCTATGATTTATACTTTATTATTTATTTGTATTGTTTATTTTTTACAGTTTTATCAGTTGTGTTAAATATATAATTTTTTATATTTATTTACTTTAATAATTTCTATGAATTATAATTATTTATTATTTATATTGTTTATTTGTATTGTTTATTTTTTACAGTTTTATCAGTTGTGTTAAATATATAATTTTTTATATTTATTTACTTTAATAATTTCTATGAATTATAATTATTTATTATTTATATTGTTTATTTGTATTGTTTATTTTTTACAGTTTTATCAGTTGTGTTAAATATAAATGTTTATTACTATTTGATGCTGTCATCCTAATAACATAAAATCATACAAAATATAATATAATGTAATAATATCCTGATTTTGTGCAACATAAACACTGCTCTGCTTAAGTGAAATGTCTAGTCTGATCATTATATAATGTAAAATATTGTGCCCCAAAAAATGGCTTCAATGTAGTTTGCTTATAGCGAACAACTTTATCAAAAGTGTAGTTTGGCTATAGTTGAAATGATCAGTCGCAGTGTCATGCATGAAGACCTTTAGATGTCAAAGCTTTCTACAGCTTTGCTAGAAAACTGCTAGCACTGCTAATACTGCTGATATTGCTAACACTGGTTGTGTGTGTCTCCTGCAGAGGAACTGGCTTTGGCTTTTGTAACTCCATGTGTAAGCTGGCCGCAGTCTTGGGGAATCTAATATTTGGGTCGTTGGTGGGAATCACGAAATCCATCCCGATCCTGCTGGCGTCGTCTGTGCTGGTCGCCGGAGGCCTGGTGGGTCTGCGGCTCCCCGACACCCGCAACAACGTCCTCATGTGACCCCACCACACCTGTGACCTCTGACCCTGAGTCGTCACGGAAACACGCAGGACACGCTCAGGGTGCAGGTGGAAGCGACTATGACGTGTTTGCTTCATTTATTCATTTAAAGTGTGTTATTTATTCAGTTAGAGATGTTTATTCTCTGTTGAATTTGCCCAGTTCAGATCAAAAGATTAGATTCTGATGACTTTGTTACAGTATATCAAATGTTATGATGTTATGAAATGTAAAAACAAAAAAAGTGTCGAAATCTGTTTTTAGACGGTGAGTTTTCGACCTAATCTGGGTGGGCAGAATTATTTTTGAAAAGTATTTATTTAATTAGAAAATGTAGTTGTTTTTTATTTTTAGTATTTTATCTTTATTATTTTAAGCTGAACACAACAAAATTCAGGTGATTTTAATGTTTTTTTGTATTTTTTATTAAAATGTTAATTTTCTTGAAATGATGCGAGAGTAAAAAAGGCCATTTAGAGATGTAGACATTAGCGATAACAGGTTTTTTTGTTAGCATCGGTCCGATTCTCCGGTGACGTCCACCCGAAACTTTACTTAAACAAGACAATAACGATTATGCAGTTTACATTTTCTGCTTTCTATAATGATTTAGTTAGCAGAAGAACACCGACACGCTTCGACGGACTTCATTTGGTGTTTGTCTCTCTCGGTTTAAGGGTTAAAGATGTCTTGATAACCCTAGTTCTAGCTGCTACATGCACGTCTTTGCACGTCCATGTGCAAACTCTTCCTCAGAAAACTGAATGGCCTTTGCTTCCTCTCCGTGCCTCCTTCCTCTAAAACCCTCCCGTCGGCTTCTCGTAGGTTGTAGCGATCCATCGTACAGCAGAACTGAGCGCGTGTCCGATTTCTTTTGGAAAGCTCTACTGCTCCAATAGGTGGAAATATGTCGTGTTTCATCACATTCCACTGGAAGTTCGTACATGCAATTGTGTAATATGACAGGACGTGATACTGTGGAAGCCCGTTTCCGCCACTGAATAAAAAACATTTTTAAAGTTAATGGCGACTTTTTATCTCACGATTCTGATTTTTTTTCTCAAAATTGTGGGATACAAACTCGCAATTACGAGTTATAAAGTCAGAATTGCGTGATTTCAACTGTGTGTTAAATTGTGTTACAAAGTCAGAATTGTGAGACATGAAAATTGCGAGAAAAAGGTCTAAATTGCAAGCTTAAATTATCTCGCAATTCTGATTTTATTTCTTGCAATTAAGAGTTTATATCCCGCAATTCTGACTTTATAACTCGCAGTTGCAAAAAAAATAAAATCAGAATTGCAAGATATAAATTCACAATTTTAACTTTTTTCTCACAATACTGATTTTATATCTCACATTTCGGACTTTGTAACACGCAATTGTGAGTTTTTAAACACACATTTCTGACATTTTTCTTGCAATTCTGACTTTTTCTCGCAGTTGCGAGTTTGTCTCACAATTTTGACTTTCTCACGATTGCAAGGTTATATCCCACAATTCTGACTTTATAACTTGCAATTGTGAAGTTATTTAACAATGATGAGAGAAAAAGTCTAAATTGTGAGTTTATATCTCACAATTCCGACTATTTCTCACAATTGCACGTTTATCTCGCAATTGTGATTTTTTTTTCTTGCATTTCTGACTTTGTAACTTGCAATTGAGAGTTTATATCATGCAATTCTGATTAAAAAAAAAAAAGTCAGAATTGTGAGAGTTTATATCTCACAATTCCGACTATTTCTCACAATTGCACGTTTATCTCGCAATTGTGATTTTTTTTTCTTGCATTTCTGACTTTGTAACTTGCAATTGAGAGTTTATATCATGCAATTCTGATAAAAAAAAAAAAAGTCAGAATTGTGAGATAAAAAGTTGCAATTACCTTTTTTTCAGTAGCGGAAACGGGCTTCCATATAATACGGCCGCATCTTAGAAAAGAATAAAAGCCATTCAGCCTGGTCTGATCTTGATGACGTACAGGCCCTGCTGCTGCTGTCTACATGCACTGAAGTACACTAAACACCAGAAACATACTCACAAAAGTGCACTAGTCCGCTGCGTCAACACTGAGATATTGCAGATGGAGTTTGCATTCACGTACTTGGGTATAAATATGTTTCTGGCCTAATTTAATGATATTTTATTGTGTGTATGTGGGGAAAGTAAAGATAAACTTGTTTTGAGCTTATCATGGGTGACAACATTTGCTGTAAACGTCTAAATGTTGTAAAGTGTTGCCTGTTGAGTTGAAACATTATTTTTCATTGTCAGATGTGTATGTGAATGTCTCCTCATGTGTATGTGTAGATATCTTGTATTCAATGAACATTATTTTCTGTCTATAGATGTTTATTTTGGCTGGATGTGTGATTTCTGGGTGTTATTTAAGCTAACAAGAGGATTCAGTGTCGTACAGGTATTTTTTGCAGTTTTTTTTACAAGTTTGAACAAATTCAGTTCATGGGAGGAATGAATTTGAAGTTACGAAATGTTTGTTTGGTGCAACTCCTGAACTGTTTATTTCAACTGCTTTGTTTTTTTGTATTAATTTCGGAGCAAATTCAAGTGGCCTATCTGAAAAATACAAAAGAAGTGTGATATCTTGTGGTTAAATACACCTGTGCATGTGCATATTGAGACTTTGTGTTGCAGTGATTGGTCTGTTGTGCTTTCGCCATGAGTTAATTCCTGATTTGAAAGATGAATGTATCATTATTGTGAGTGTGTGATGTTGTTCTGAAATGGGTTTTGATTGGTTGTGGATCTGGCATGCCAACGACACGTCTGCCGTCAAATTCATTTTGTCAAAGTGTCTGTGACGTCACTGGCCAAATATCTCAGATATATCTGATTTTATTTTGAAAAGAAAGTAAAAAGTGCCATGTACAGTGTGAACGGAAACTGAGGTGGATCCGGTCTGGATCCAGATGTACTGCTATTAAAGAGTTTCATTATAAGACTCTAAAGAGTGTCTGCTCATTTTTTCAGAGACCTCTGGGTAGCTAAATATCAATTCACTTTACCTGAATTCATCCTATAAACTGATATTCTGGGCCACATAAAATAATTAATAATTCAGATTAATCACAATATGTAATCTGAATTATATGAATCTAATACAAAACCTGCTTGAATTGATAAAAACCCTTGTGGATGTAAAATTTGTTATAATGTGACCTCTAATGGTGAATGTAAGTACACTAAAATGTCTTGTAAAATTATATATATATATATATATATATATATATATTTATAAACTGTATAAATATATGTAATAATGGTAATATATAACACACCTGAAAATAGCTAGAAAAACGTGCTCATAATTTGTGAAAGATGCTTTAAAAAATGTAAATATTTTCTATTGTACACTAAAATTATCTCATTGTAATATTAATATATAGTGTAGATATATTATATATAATAATAGTAATATATAACACCTAAAAAAAGAGCTTAAAAAAAAAAAAAAACTTGCTCATAATTTGTGAAAGATGTCTAAAGAAAATAAAATATTTTCTAATGAATATGATGAACAAATAATAGATCAACTTGTTCGATGCTTCAACACCAGATGGAGCACGAGCTCCAAACATCTCCCATTGTGTTAGTGTTGGTCTGTGAACTAGACTCCTGTACTTTTATTGGACCGGGAGTCCGGGACTGTGGTGAAATGTGCTGTGTACTTCAGTAATGACATGCAGGTTTGAATCTGTTGGTGTCTGACTGACTCAAGGACAGTTTAATCCTGCAGGAATGTTCGACTGAAACTAGATACTCGCCAGCGCCTCTGTCTCTGTCTGTCTCTCTGTCTCTCTGTCACTGTCTTTGAATTTGTTCCTGCTGAAAAACAGCTCGCAACATCCTCAATATGCAGCATAAATTATTATTATTATACATTAAACATGAAAAATGTACATTGTTTTTTATTACATTAATAATTACATTATTTATTAAGCTCACAACATCCTCAAGGTGCATAATAATAATGATAATAAATGTACTATATTATTATTATTAGGAATATTACATTAAACAACAAAATATTTTATGTAATAAAATTAATAATAATTAATATAAAAACAAATTATTCATTATCAGAATTATATCAAATTAGTTTTTATTGTTTGCATAATTATTAAAAAATGTTATTAAAATTACTGAACCATTCCGTTACTTATAATGGTCACAGGTGTAAAACACGGCTGATCATTTTTGTCCTGGATTTGTGGTTTAAACCAGGATTTAGAATTGTAGAAGTCGGGTTTAGACCAGCAAACTCCTCTCCGGAGGCCTGATTGTTGCTGGAATCTCCATGATCTGGATTCCAGGCGTGTCTGAGGATAATTCTGCGTCCTAGCGGATCCATTCCACCCTAAGCCACTCAGAAGAGCAGCTGACATGGAAACGAGTGAGAGAATGTTTAATAGTTTGCATACATATTAGCTGCTATACGTCATATATGAACTAACCAATCAGCAGGACTGCAACTATTTTCTGTATGATGTTTACAAATGTTGCAACCATACAGCAACTCCATGGCAACTATTCAGAATGTCCAAGCAACTGCATAGCAACTCCCTGGCAACCATCCAGAAGACCCTAGCAACCATATAGCAACACCATGGCAACCACCTAGAACACTGAGTAAACACACAGCAACCCCCTGGCAACCATATAGCAACTCCATGGCAACTATTCAGAACATCCAAGGAACCACATAGCAGCTCCCTGGCAACCACATAGAACACCCTAGTGGCCACATAGCAACACCCTAGCACCACATAGCAACTCTGTCCGCTGGCAAGCACATAGCAACTCCCTGGCAACCACTTAGTCCACCCTAGCAACCACCTAGAACACCCTGTCAACCACCTAGAATACCTTAGCAAGTACTTAGCAACTCTGTGACCTATCAACCACATAGCATCTCCCTGGCAACCACCGAGAACATCCTGGCAAGCACATAGCAACTCCCTGGCAACCACCTAGTACACCCTAGCAGCCATTTAGCAACATCCTAGCAACCACATAGCAACTCTGTGCCTTAGCAAGCACATAGCAACTTCCTAGCAACCACCTTGGACACCCTAGCAACCATATAGCAACCACCTAGAGCACCCTAGCATCCACTTAGCAACATCCTAGCATCCACATAGCAACACTGTGCC